CTAGGAGCTTCCCACTTATAATAATATATGATTATTATAAAAAATAAATTTACGTTTACCCTATAATTGTATATAATATGCTTTTGTGTTTTTGTTTCCCACTAAAATAAAAACAAAGTCCATATTATTGTCATAGGCATCATGAATGGCATTATTTTCAAGAAGACAAATTACATTATTTTGATCAACTAGAAACTTAAATTGATTTACATAAAACAGTAATTGTTCATATCTTTGATTGCATGTTAGTTCTTTGTAGTTACATTATGAAATCTTGGAACTCCTAATTAAAACATAATATCAGTTGATGGATCATAATATCAGTTGATGGATCACAGTAAAGATGCTAAGGCATTTGACTGTCTTCTGTTTTTTTCTGGTAAAGAAGTGAGCCAAACAAAACAGCAACGCCTGTTATAGCAATTGTGAATAGAAGCCGCTTCCTGGAAGCTTCGTGTGGTTGCCTTCTAGGAGCACCGTGACGATCTCTCTCAGCTAGACTAGTGTTGCTTCAAAGATACAAGAAACACGACGAAAAAGTAAAGACCAGAGCAGAAGATATAGCAGCACAATAGACAATAGTACAGTTGCAGAGTGTATTAGTAAATGGTTTAGAAATGTATTTACATTTATAAGACGAGCCATATGATGGAAACAATTGAAGTGTAAAGAGAAAGACTTATGCTTAGGAGCACCTTGAGGGGTCGTTTGGTTGTTGGTTAGAGTTATACTATAGTAGTATTAGTTATGCGGAATTGTAAACAGGTAACCAAACACCGTATTTTGTAGTGCTAAACATGAACATACACAACAATCATAAAAATTTAGGTCAGACTTGGCCAGGACTAAGGTGACATATGTTTATACACTTGTTTCTTAGCCAGAATACAGTTCGTACATATAGATATCTACACGCTTGTTTCCTTTATGTTTTACCTACCTGGTAAAGGGGATTGATCAAGTCCAGTTTTTTCTAAGGCTACACTGGAACTTCTTTTTCTTCTTTCTTTGTGGTTAATCCTTCATCTACCTTATCTATGTCCATCAAGAAAGTGTTTGCTTTCTGCTTCTACCAGCCAGCTTTGTCCGCCCTTTATATATTTGGACATCTCTTATTACAAAGAATTCTTTCTTCTTTTATAGAAGATGGCTCTCACATATTTAGAGACTGTGGGACTTCTAAGTTTGTCAAATTTACAGTATTATTACATAGGTGGATTAGGCGCATATTTGAGAAAAATAGGCCTGTAGATATAGTACACTATATGAGAAACCTGGAGTTGAGGATCAAAAGAGTTGATAAGAAAATGAGCAATTGTTAGATCACGCACTGCCCTATGCAGAACTTTATGGCTTTCAAATTATAATAAGTGAAAAGGTGTGATTTTACAGCCTTCCCATGAAAGTTAATAAACACAGGAGTCGGTTGGTTAAGTGAATTATTCATGTGTTAAAACCAATGTAACTAGTACCATGTAGTGTTTTAGTTGCTATGTATAAAAAGAATACTGATTTTCACATGAAGACGAGCTTCTGTCAAGTTGGATTGATTCAAAGAGCAGAAAAGTATTACATGGTAGCATGCCTTGTCACAGTTGCTAACCAGCAAACATGACATGTTGCGAGCAACAGTTGTTGACTCAAAACCATATCAAGAAAAGATTACAAGCTGGAACCAAATACCCTATATGATGTCAGGTTTATTAGTCATGATCACTAACCAAGGACCCTTCATATCTAGCCATGATGAGGTTAGGCTCACTATATCATGGCCACACACCACAGTGCATCTATACAGAATGTTTCCACATTTATGTTTTCTTTTTGTCCTCAAATTGGAGGGGGGTGGTGGTTAACGAAGGGGTTTCAAGTCTTGTAAGTCAGTGCTCACTTATCATTGTGACAAAATCCATAGAACACTTGTACCAACAAGAGAGGAAAAGCAAAATATAAGCATGAAATGCACGTCTGAGTAATAATTACATTAAGGTAAGAATGACAGAGATATGCACTTTCTAATGGACTCAGTTGGACCTCATAAACGTCACCAAATGACCAAATCTACTCAACTTTGAAAGGAAAGTTCAATACGACCTTGGAGACATGAAAAATGTCTACTAAATCAAACTTTAGGTCCACATACCTGGAAGATTCTGCAATGACATTTGTGCCTCCATTGCATCTACTCTCATGGACATCTCTTTCATGGAGCCTAATATATCTGCTACACATATGACAGAGTTCTGTTCTATTCCCACATACTTCCTGGTAAAAGAATACAGATATTATAACAGCAGGATACTGAAGTTTAAACAGTCCAGAAAAAGTACAAAATAGAAAGAAGTTCAATCATAGATAGTAATTATAAATATAACCTGATGCTTAAATAAATCAATTGCAGGCAAAGGAAACTCGCAATACTCGCATGTTACAATTCTTTGTGGACAATTTTCACCTTTGTGAACACCTAATACCTCACGCTCCATTGTCTCACTACACAAAGAACAGGCTACCTAATAATTCATGCATAAGATCACATTAGAAAGTTTGAAGCTGGCTTATTAAAGAACAACAGCTTTGAAGAAGTGAGAAAAGAATTCAGTAGCAACACCTTGCACCATACTTAATGTTAGCGAAATTAAGAATTAAGTTCTATCTTTTCTTTTGTATTGCACAGCCATGAAACGAAGAACAAAAATATGTATTTTTACAAACACCGATAGCTGACAAATGTGCATATTCACACAAACAGTATCTGGAAGCAAACAGGAAGGAGAATAAAGGAAATAGAATTGTATCTATCTCAAAAGGGACTAATATATATTGGGATCAATCGATACAGTGATAGGTACTCGAGAATTCCTTGTGTGTAAAAGTTGAGAAGTAATTAGAGAAGGGAAAAAGTTCCCTGTAAAATTCTACGGCATCATTCACAAAAAATGACAAGATTAAACAAATAGGTTCACTTACCGGAGCATGAGTGCTCAAGAAATGTTCTTCTGCATGTTTTTTTGGAACCACATCCCCACAAATTTTACATTTTTCAAGCTTCCGGGAGCAGTGAGCAACATGCAAATCGAGATTGGAACAAGGAATTACTCTGTCACTGGAAACAAAATTTCACAATGTGTTATCCACAATCCCAGCGATCATTCATCATATATTAAAGACATGAACTCTTCAACTTCCATTGTTAGAAAATGAGGATTAGATAGTACATCCGTGTGTAGCTCACGTCCCTCATGCAAAATAAATCGAAAGAGTAAAACACCAGTTAACACTTGTGCCAACATCACAATATACAAATTACACACCAATAGCCTAGCTGGTATTTAATTTTCCATATTGGACCTCATATGCACATTGCAAGCTCACTCTTGTTAGAGAAAGGTTTAAACTCTAACCAACGTTTTGGATTATCGAATTTTTCACCCCAACCTAGTTCATGGGTAGTTAGACCGTAGCTAGCTAGTGAACCCAAATTGCAACTAATAAGAGAAATCATTCCTATAGTATATAGTGGTGATCAAGTGGTCATGCTAGAAACATAACCAGTCATCGATAATTAAATTCTGAGCTCATCGAAATGATCTAAGAAAATCTTATTTACTCTCTTATGTGTTTTTTTGGCAACTCTTTAATTTCAACTTGTCGCAAGACATTTTTATTTTAGATGACAAGGGTAATCCGCTAGTGTCACCCCTTGGATGCGCACATGCTAAAACCACACTCTTATGCAATAGCTCGCAAACCGAACAGTAATCCGCACTAGGCAAGTCCGAGCGGACAAGCTCGACCCAGAAGGAAACCCCTTGCTTTTGCTGGCAAGAGTTTTCGAACTTGAGACCTCCAACATGGAAATCCCAAGCCCAAACCACTGGGCCACCTCGAAGGATACTTGTCAGTTGTCACGTGACATATTCAAGACCAGATTAAAAGACATTTTTATACATTCAATACAGTGGCGTAGCCACCCCTTGTCACAGAGTGTCCAATTGGACACCTTCATCAGAATATTATACCGTATATACAAGTAAAATAATAAATAAAGTGGCTAAATAACATACTTTGGTACCTTGACACAACAATATGATGTAGCCTAGTGATTTTAGGCGCCTTGAAAGATTAAAGACACAAATTTAAAGTCTTCATGTGTTTGAATCTCACTAGTAGCAAAAAGTCACTTTCTAAGAACAGTTTCACTTTAGCTCTTGGACACCCTTTGTGAAACCACTGATTCAATATATCTTTTACTTTAACATCACAAAATTCAAAACTTCTCAGGTCAAAATCACACAAACAAATTGATACGGAATCAACTACTCCTAGATGTCAATGCACACTAGTATCCCATCTTCAAAGACCATTCATTCCTCACAAGGGGATGAAATTGCAGCTAAAAAAACAAACCCAGATATTTGTGTCTATATAAATTCCAGCTAAGGGGCCAAAAACGTGAAATAATTATGGAATTTATAGTTTTAAACATTTCTATATTCAAAAAACAAAAATTAAGAACAAGTTACCAGTAACTGCAGATACTTGTGGCTTGATCAGAAGCTACCGACATTATCCTCCTGCAAAATGAAACTCTGAAATAATAACAGAGAAAAAGGGATAAATCAAAGTTCAGTAATCGAGAAAGAAGATGATAGATTAATTTTTTTTCATTGAATCTTGTATATATATATATACATTTGATTATATTTTAAATTATTTAACTCTAATTAAAATTTTCAGATAAATTGTGTTCAAAATTCCATTATTTTGCTTGAATAGAAGAACAACCTAATATTCTCTGAATTGCAATTATGAATGAATGATCGGTGAACGGAGGAAGTATTAGAATTTGGTTCACTTACGGGTATGGGCTTCTTGGGCTTAAAGTTGGATTATTTGCATCAAAGAATGGAATATAATGGTCTTTGATACAATTGTATTCACATTGATATATAAATTTACTGATTTCGCTCGACTCTCTCGATTTCATTCGCTTCTCTCCTTTTCTACCAATTAATTTTTAAAGTAAATTTATTGTATTTGTGATACAATTATCAATAAATATACAAAATAACTGTATGTTTCTCTCATCTCTCTCTCCCCTCGAATATCACTTGCCTCTCTCTCTCCTCCTGTCAATCTCGTTCATCTTTCTCTCCTCCTTTTAGTATATAGACACGAGCCGTAATTAAACAAATACACACGGTATAAATCAATTGTATAAAATATAAATGTGATATAATTAGTGATAGATATATAAATTAGTTGTATCTCTCTTTCTTAGATCTCGCTCGCTCATCTGTCTCCTCCTTCTAGTAATAACTTTTTAAACAAACCAATTGTATTTGTGATACATTATCAGCCAATACAAAATAATTGTATCTTTCTCTCCTCTCTCCCTCCAGATATCGGTTGTCTCTCTCCTCCTTCTCTCTATTTCGCTCACCCTTCTCTCCTCCTATTAGCATATATAGCTACGGTTCATAATTAAATAAACTATAGATTTAGCTATCTAATTATGTCCAAATTAAAGTCATTTTGAAAGTTTCAAGAAAAAATAATACAATATGATATTTGATTTACGATTTAGAAATCCACATAACTAATACAATTATAAGTTATAAGAGAAACTATTTATTATTTTTGTACAAGATATGAAGGTGGAACAACACGGATAACTAAACAACCCCCCCCCATCAACATGAGTTGTGGTGCAATGGTTGTTTTACCCTTAACCAGAGGTCTTAGGTTCAAGCCCTGGATATGGAGAAAATCCTGTTGGGAGCTCCA